TTACTTACAGTGTAGGCTTCTCTTCAGTTTGCACTTCGAGCACATATATGTGACAATATTCTTGACCTCCATCGAGGCCAGCATCGCGTATTAAGTCTGGAATGGGCAAATATTTTTAAACTAGTAAATAAACATACATACAAAACCATTTGTTTATTTACCTTTCTCTGTTATCTTTGGACCATCGCTCATCTTCTCAAAATCGGCCAGTTCCTGGCGACAAATTAGACAAATTAATAACAAAATAGTCAAGTCATGCGGATTTCATTTGATAATCAAGCTCTTTACCTTATTTTAATGTTCACTTATTGGAACACACAACTTCTCTTAATCTTTCACTACTTACCTGAATCATCTGGCGTACAGCTGCAATGTCCTCGATTTTAGCTCGTCGAAATGTAAACTTTTGGTTTGTTTCCATTTCTCTTGGTTTATTTTTCTATTGTTATTAATTAAAGTAGGCTTTAATTAAATTTTCTAATCGGTAATTTATATTTCGGGCAGGCAGTCTGCTTATCAGAGAATTTTAGTTAGATTTATTTGTTATCACTTTTGCCGGCCAATAAGATTAGTTTAGAGTTGCCAGTGTGTACAAAATTCACTGTTATTAGAAAAGGCAGTAGAATAACATAAGTCCATTTTATAGTTGTAAATGTTAAGTATGAGAACAAAAAAATAAATTAAATATGTACATATGTCAATAAATAAAAATAAAAAAGAAACGAACGCGTATATATCGTTACCTTAATATAGAAAGGCCCTCTCTCATATCGACTGCTGACTCAAGATCGACCTATCTCGGCAGCCAGTTCGAAAACGCTCTATCTCAAAAAACTTCAAAAACGTCCTATTTCAAAATTTAGTTGAAGAACGCCCTATTTCAGAATTCGTTTCAAAAACACCCTATCTCAGCTGCCGATTCATAAACGCCCTATATCAGCACATTTTCAATACATATTGAAGTCAGATAGGACATTTTTGAATCGTATTTTTAAATAGGGCGTTCTTCAACCCAATTTTCAGATAGGGTGTTTTTCAATAAAATTCTGAAATAAGGCGTTCTGGAAAACCTTTTTGAGATAGGGCGTTTTCGAACTGGCTGCCGAGATAGGTCGATTTTCCACTCAGCAGTCGATTTTCAATATATTTTGAAGTTGAATAGGGCATTTTTGAAAAAAATTCTGAAATAGGGCGTTGTTGAAATTTTTTTGAGATAGGACGTTTTCGAACTGGCTGCCGAAATAGGTCGATCTTCCACTCAGCAGTTGTTGTTGTTGTAGCGGCACTACTATTCGGGTCAACGTTCAATCATTTTCGTCAAGCTCAACTAACGGGAGGCCCAGGAAACGAGCTGTTTCAATGGGTTCGGACCAGAGGGAAAGGGGTGTTAACTGTGTCGGATTGAGCTGGCATGTGAAGAGGTGGTTGGTGTCGTGAGGGGATTCTCCACATGCCGGGCACTTATTGGGGATATTGGGGTCGCGTCTGGACAGGTAGCTGTTGAGGCGACTACAGTATCCAGACCGTAATTGAGCCAGGATTCCCAAGACAGCCGGTTCTACGTACCGGAATGACTCGGGTTTTACCCGAAAAAGGGCTGTTGTTTCGGCGACCTAACCCGGCTTAGATCGGCGATACCCTTCAATCCACTCAGCAGTCGATATGGTCGCTGAAATACAAAAAGCCGTTACTAACTAGAAATTCAAAATTCACTTCTTAATTGATTTGATTATGATGCATATCATAGAATTATAAGTCCCTACATCGTTTAATTAGTTACGGCTTTTTGCATTTCAACGACGATATGAGATAGGGTCTTTCTGTGTTAAGTTAAAGATGTGTATGTATCCTGTATGTATTGGGTAATACTGGTTCTGGCGGAGTTTAGTTGTTGTACTGTAAAACAAGTGCCCATGATCCATACTGAAATGGCTTAGTTTGTTACAGACTGGCCAATGTCATTTTCCCAAGTCCTGCCGGCAAGTGGCTGTACCTTGTTCATCCGTGGAGATAGCTTCTTATCGCTGTAGCGTAGACCGTTAGGCCGTTATATGAAACAGGTGGGTTTTATAGTAAATTATAGTCGGGAGCCGGGATCAAATTTTTTTAAATTGCATTTCTCTCTTGATACCAGCAAGTAAAGGTATGCGGCTTTAGCCCAACTTCGCTCGGGTTATTTCAAAGGCTAAACTCATACCTGAGCAGAGTAAATGAAGATTAGCCCAACCAGTGCCCGGCATTCGCCACATGACCCACGGCACCTCTTCGCATGCCCCAAAAACCCCACCCAGTTAACGCCTCTAACCTAATTGATAGCACCCGTTGAAGTTGCGCACTTCCTGGGTCACCACTTAGCTGAACTATACGACAACGATGATGGGTGAGCCAACTCAAGCGGGGTTTGGTAGTCGCTACAACAACAAGAACATGGTGCTCTTGTTGGGAACCATACTACACAACATTCGTCTTACTACCTTCGAGCGACTGAACGATCCTCCTCCCAATTTATCGCCAAATAATGCTTGACTTTAGCCCCACTTGAGGGTAGTCCGCTATTCCTACACTTCTATGCACGTTTTTGGTTAATAAATTACTCATGAATATAGAGCCGAGGAGAAGCAGCCACGCTAAGAAGACGTTTCATTTATCATAAGCGGCAAATGTCTAATGACTCTTAGCTCACTGGCGAACCAAACGCTGAAAGCTTTCAGTGATTAGTCTACGGTAGTTGGACTGAGTTTTAATTACTAGAAAATCAAACACGGAATACCCTGGAATCGTACTGCACAGCAAACTGTCGAGGAAACTCAATGTGAAGGAGCTGGTAAGGAAGGTCTCGGCAACACTGAATACATGAAAGATGTCGGGCTACACTTGAGAGCTTTCACCTGCGCTTTTACAATGAATAGTCACAGCTATTGTTAAGCCAATGCGATTCTATGGGGTATTGATATGCCGCGAAACTTATACGTCGGTGCAGCTTGGATTCAGAACTTACGGTCACAGTAGCGTCATCCTTAACCGGGAGAATAGACTACGTGATCGTATGTCTAAGTTTCTATAGATCTCTAGAAGCTACAATGGAGGTTGACGTTTGGCGTTAGGGCGTGGGGTATCTATCAAGCCGATGTCTTTGTAATAAGGAACCCGCCAAGCAAGCTGATAATCATTTACTTATTTCGTTAGTCAGGCGGCGGTTACTACAACTTTCATAGAATTAAAACAAACACGATTACCGTCGCGGAACGTTCTTACAGGCTTGCTACTGCTAAAACATAGCACGTAGTTTGGGTCCCAGGATACAAGCTTGTGGAAGGTAATGAGAGAGCAGAAAATCATAAGATTACAAGATCTTCTCATGTACCGCCAGGCGGATACGTTTTGGAAAACAACTCATATTTGTAGAGTTGCAAAGATTTTTTGTAGTTCATGTGATAAGAAACTTACTGATTTCCGAGAGGATTATCCGATATGATGACGAGTTATCCAAGGAATTCCTGTGCAGGAGCATGGCTGAGATCAGCGATGCCTGATTGGGTTTAAAGCTCCAACTGATCACAGTGCAATTAGAACCATATACAGAGAAATATTCTTCTACATGGTGGCAAGCTGCCGGATATCCAAACTCATGCGGCCCGTGTACAACCCCTAGAGAAGACACAACTTTTGAGGAAAACCCAGAACTGACGTTGCGAGGCTACATAGTACCAATTCTTTTGGTATCAAAATTGCACTGAGCTGTTACCTGGGCATACAAGATTTTCCGCCACCATTTGAACCTAACACTAACCTAACCTATACATAGATCTGACGAAATATCGGTTTACCCTCGGTGCATGCATCCTCTCAGTTGTTCGCTGCCGATTTTCGGTAGCATTATTGCTGTTCTCACCTCTTATGGAGTCTTGGGTCAAGGCAGTAAGAGAGAAAAAGCTGTAGTGGAGCATCGGTTGTGTTTTGATAGTAGACTGAAGATAGCATACAATTAGAATTTTACCTTCGCTCAACTCGCCTGAAATATCAACATGTATCCTTAAGAACTCTACCAGCAATGTGCTCGGGTTCGCCTGTAGAAACGACATCCAATTTTGTTGTTCGTTTCCTTTAATATCCAGCGGTACGTGGGGCGTCTACTTCGCCTGCACGGCATCTGGTTTCGCGCAATCGCTTTGAGCTGGTAATTCGAATTGCTGCGCCTCTCGATTGGCTGTTCTTCTCCATATTTCGTGCGGTCTGCCGGGACGCCTGTCTCTTCCGATTAGGAGATTCCATTCCAAGGCCATCTTTGCAATACTACCATCTTATTTGCGAAATTTTTGGCCTATCCAATTCCATCTCTGTATTCGGATACGAGTCTTTTGAGTAACTCCTCATTTGAAATTGTTTTAAGACAAAAATTCAGGCTGTCGTTATAAGATATTTGTTTCAAAAAAACGTGCAAGCGTCTGGCTATTACAGTGGTGATTTTCCAAGTGGAACTACCATACTGCGGTATCGAGAACACACAGGACTTGAATAGCCTAGTCTTAAAGCTGGAACTCAGACATTTGTTTTCGCCATGCCGTGTACCAAAAGCCGCAGCGGGTTTACTTATTCGGCGGTCAGTGTCTTCGATAGCGCCGCCCTCTGGGGCAACTTCGCTGCCAAGGTATGTGAAATTCATCATAGTGGGCGAAGACTTACACGACACCACAAGCCTTCCCTGGCATAGTTAGAATCTTGGTATTTTTAAAGTTGATCCTTAGGTGTGCCGCTGTAAATTCTCTATGTAGCGCGTTAACCATTTAGAGCAATCAAAGACACAATGCGTCGAGAGACATATGTTTGTTAATGTGAGCTGTAAATGGACCACCGAAGTCCCAAAACGGGAAGTGGCCTCATGGCAGCATCCAACACTAGGTGAGACTAGTCAACATTGACGAACCCCGCTGTGAACTTCGAAGGTTTCAGCAATGATTTTTTCAGAGGGGGAGTTATCAATGGTTGAATTTAGATGTTCCTTTTTGAAAAATCATTTATTTCATTCGAGCCGGCTGCTTTATTCTTTGAGGGTGAGATGATAGCAGACGTCAGTTCAGAGATAGTGAGCGCATCTGGCTTAATACAGATGTCGTTATTCAAAGAAGCTCATACTTCTGCGAAATTCGGAATGTCGTGGTTCAGAACTAAAGCAATGAGGGCCTATTGATCACCTGCTAAGAGATCTTATATATGGGCCCATTATCACCGTGACAAGCATCATTTTCCGGCTCCTCTCCAATATAAAACAAAAAAGTGTCTCGATATTCATCTGCAAATCCTGCAAAGGCACATTTGGAATAAATATTTCCCATTTTTCTTATCGATGCCACCAAAGTTGAAGGATGGAGTGTAATAGACTAACAATATGTTGTTGCTATAGGCTTATACGCACTAAAAATTTTTTATGTATATTTGTATGTACGTATATTTGTCTGCATGCATTTATATAGACATTAAATAAATTTTGTAGCTTATCGCATCGTCCGAATGTTCGATGGCTGACTGTCAGTAAACATAAATGACCTTTTCACCAGCAAGTCAAGTTGTTTTTCGTTTTTATGGCAGAACGTTTATGTCTCACTGTCAATAATAAGAGCATT